AATTTGAATAATAATTTTCATCAAAAAATTATTAAAAAAAGTTTGAAATTTTCAAATTAAAGACGTGTAGACAGGACAACGTCTGTCGGGTCCGCTAGTAATGTCTATTTCAATAAGATTTTCCAAAAAATATTTAATGTACAGATTCGGCTTAGTTAGAATTTTATCATACGAGTATGTATAGATTACGTTGTCAATACAACTGTTAGCAGTAAGCATATAATATTTTCTGTTACTATGATTTGTGTCAATACACCAAAGAACAAATTCCACACGTGTAACCATAAACATACCTAACGTTAGTGGTTTCCACGTGCTGTTAAGATAATCCATCTATTAATTTAGTATGATATTTTTTTTATTAAATACGATTTTAGCAACATCACGACGAGGTCAATTTAATAATAAACGTTAAAAAAAGATAACAGTTACTGTGGGTAAATACGGCCTAGAAGAATTTAATATTTATCTGATGTAAAATAAGTTTATAACGAAAATTTATTTTTTATTGCTATTCAAATAATAATAAATGAAGTAGCCGCGTTAGTTTCAATCAAAATTAAAAAAAAAATGCTCCTACTGATACTAGTTATTGCCATGATGCATCTAGGTCCTTGCCAGATTTCATCGAAAATTTACATAGAACATACATTTATTTTCACCTTTATAATAATTGTAAGGATTTATTTTTAAATTTATTCTTATTGAAGGGGACACAGATGTTGTATCTGCCACTGTAACAGTAATTTTCTTTAACATATTTAATATCAAAAATCCTCTGAGATGTGATGACAGCTCTAGAATTAAAAGATAAGCTAACATGATATACAAATAAGAGATATTTCTAAACGCTATCTCGTACAAATATGTGGGACATAAATTAATCGCGGCTCACAGATAGACAAAACGCCTAATGCCATAGTAAATGATGCTATCGTGTTTTGGTGCCTTGTATGTCACCACGTACCTCATTAGATAAGCGGAAATGTTGATCTGTATACATTGAAATTTGCTTTACTTACACTGCGACTGGAATTAATGTCTATAAAGTAATAAAGCTACTAAAATGATAATGGCTTAGTTGAACGGTTTTAAAATCTTACTTTTACTAAAAAAATCTTGTGCACGATATCAATAAGGGAGTCCATAGTTTTTACTAATGTTGTAAATCTGAATGTGTGTTTGTAAGTTCTTTGAGGCTATTCGTATTCAACCCTTTTTAACGTTCCACTGCTAAACATGGGCCTTCCAGTACGAGGCCAGGATAAGGGCTTAGTCGACCACACTGGCCAAGTGCGGGTTGGCGGACTTCACATGTCTCTCGAAAACTTGCTAGGTTCTCTCAGACATGCAGGTTTCCTCACGATGTTTTCCTTCACTGAATGACAATTGGTAATCATGTTGAAAATGATTCGCATTTTTAAGATTGATTAAGGCTATTACGAAGCAAAAAAACACATAATTATTAGTTATTTTTAGTGCTTATCAAGTATGTAATTCTTATGGAGTATAGCTGAAAGAAGATTCTATAGAACGACCTAAGGATCAAAACCAAGGTCCCGATGATCACTCTAACTCACCAATATATAAAACGTTCAAGTTAAAAATATTATATTTTATAAAATTAAATGTGTTTGCAATTTCCTTATCAGGTTATACAAATCTTCTACAGATAAATCGAAAAATAAGTTTTTTCTTTATCATGACATTTTGAACGAGATAAGTAGGTGTTAAGACGCAGTGTGAAATTGACTTTATATTATAATAATAGTAACTAAATATAAGCATTCGTAGATAAGTTAGCAAACAGTTAAACATGTATTATTCCTAATGAGATCTTACGTGACATTCATAGATTATGGTAACTGACAGTAGTTGAGCTCTATTTATCTAGAATGTAAGGGAGATTTTATTTTATTACTTACTTAAAGATATTATGTTTTTATCTCTTGTACTATCCTGACATACAGTGAATGTAAATTTTTATGATTTGCAGTTTTCAATCCGTCGTCGTTTTTGACATAATAATGCGTGTAGAAGATTCCTGAATTTTCTTTATTTATAAAAATCAAAATAATATATGTAGGTATGTTGATTTGTTTTGAATTTTGATTTGTCAAAACAAAATTTAGGGTGTAATCATTTTTTTTTAAATATATCCGAAAATAACATTAAAAATTTAATTAATAGTATAAAAAATGTTTTAAAAGACAACAACATCGAAAGTGCATAATAAATACAAGATTTCCGCGGCACCATTCAGACAAAGAGAGACACTAGCATTCCCAAGGAGGGTTGACGTCAGGCAGGCAGCTGGTTGTAAAACTTTTGTCAAATCCTTTCAGCAGTACAGAAGATGTACTGCGCCGACCCCAAGTGATTGGGAAATGGGCAGGAAGAAGGTTGATTTGTTATAAAGGTATTACCTATTGCTACAAGAAGGACCAGCATGGAAAAGTAAGAGTCACCCTATGTATATTTGATTGTGGTAGCCTTTATCAGTTTTAACGTTGGATGATATAAGTACCTATGGTCTAAATATATGTCAGAGTCTGTATATTTTACGAACCCTCGCAACAGGTGAATATTATAGTGCTGACTGTTAAACCTTTAATGCAATTTAATGAAAATTATCAATACACTTGGTATATACAGGAGGAACGTCACTCACGACTCTGCAATTTTAACGCAAAGTTTTGTTTTAATATGATTATTTGTACGAACAATTCAAAGATTCATGAAGATTATATATAGGACATCGAATCTACGTCCTCCGATCCTAAATATACCTAAAACTTACAATTTCTGGTTTATAAATAAAGATTAAAGATACAATTCGTATATATTTTACTATATAAAAAGCAAAAAGTAACATTCGAACCCATAACAAACGACTTTAACATCAAGACATAACTGTCCATTGATCAAGTCACCAAGTCTAGCATTTAGGTACCTATTGATGTGTAAAGTACGAGTATATAATGCTGTGTTTACTTGAAATATGTCTTGATAATTTTCAATAATTATTATGTACTCGACACTAAATTCCCACGCTCTTAATTTAAAAATAAATAACAACCGGAAATATAATATTATCATATTTAAACTAAAATAGTAGTTACTTAACAGCTATAGCATTAATGAAATTTAAATAAATATAATCGCCTAACACGAAATGATTAGTAATATATTAAGAAGTTTTGTGAGAATATAAACAAAGATTAACTTTTAAGTTTTTTATTAAAATGTTGCTCCATAATTAAGTAATTAAAAAGCTTTCGTATACGTTTGAATGATTAAGTACCGCGTATGACTGCTTAAAATCACATCTATAGAAGCTTTAAGTTTATAAATAAGTTTTAAAGCTTAGTTCTATCCTATATTATAATATGTGTATACGATTATATTAGAGTATAAATGTTTAATACACTAGCGACTCATCCTCGCTTCGCTTGGGTTCGACCCTAGTGAAAAAAAAATCTATTCCACGGGAACCGTACATTTTCGGGATAAAAGTAACCTATGTGCTATTTCAGATTATAATCTATATCTGTGCAATATTTCATCCAGATTCGTTTAGTTGTTCTGGTATGATTGAGTAACAAAAATCTATCCATCCAAACTTTATAATATTATATAATGGGATACTTTTTCTGAACATGACGTTCATAATAAGTCGTAATTCATATATTATATGGATTGAGACAGGAAGCGTGTCACATGTCATATAACAAAAAATCACGTTATTTAAAACAAAGCTCAAACAACGGCGGGGAATACGAATCGCTCGAAATAAATTGTAAGTTCGGCGAACGTATCCATTGTAATTGTGCTCCGCAGCCGTGATTGCAGCAGAGTTAACACATAATACATTACAGTTTGTGTCACAACACAATCAGGCTGGGACGAATCAGGCGCCGAGTAGTAATCTGGGTTAACAGGGGTCAAACGGCATCACAAATTCCAATAGCATATTAGACAGATCTGTGGCGCGAATCGACGATTCTATGATGCTTATTGGCTTCCTCGTTGCCATTCCTCTCTTTGTCTTCAGTTCAATTTCATCAATATAACTACTCATTTTTCAGAAGTTCTTAATATCCCCAAACCGTGACACGTCGAACAATAACCAGTCTTACTCAGGTTCAAGAAAAATGTTTAGCAATCAAAAGCTTAAAGCACGTAAAACGTAAAAAAGCTCTAAACAGACTCTCCCTAGTTTTTACACGTGAGCTTTTTCATAATCACATAAAACTCATCATATAAAGAACCTGAACGATACAAGAGTAATAAACGAGAGTAGGCATGTCCTTATTTATGCCACTGTTTGCATGTTTAACCTTATTAAATGCGAAGATTCGCCATGTATCGGTCAAGTCGCGGGCCTCGGCAAACGAGCGCAATCAGTGCGCCTCGTCAACGGTTAGCTACACTGACGCAATGAACAAGTGTCCAATTTGAATCTCCATTTGTTTTAAGTGGTATGACTTTTGTTAGATTACACCCTGCAGATATTGATCGTCTTTAATTTGCTTCTGAATCTGTTAAAGGTTCTGATTATACTTTCTTATATTTCCCGTTGAGATCTGATTTGATGATACACAATCGACTTTTTCTTACGATACGAAAAAAATTAAGTAATATTATATGTTACCTGTATGTATATTTCTGTTTTAATATTACATTTTACTATATATATTAGTAAATCTTATAATAATATTAGTAAATCAAAGTATATTTAAAATAAATATTTTTACGGCATTGAAGTGCTTAATTTCACAAACTACATGTATGAAAAAATTGTGTTGTCTTGTTGCTGTCTTAAATTTTTGCATCTTATAATTTATTTATTAAAAAAGATATAATAGGCTATTAAACAATTATGGGGATATGACTACGCGAGCGTAACCGCGCGCAAATAGCTAGTAATATTTTTGTTTGTAAAATCAGTAAACTTTAAATAAAAGCTTAAACAAAACTTACTGATGTTTTTATTTCAGAGTTTGTCAGCCGAGTTGAGGCGTAGTAAAACCCCACCACGACGTTCACCCGAGGAACGTGCTGTGCCTCGTCCACCCTCTGCACCTGTTCACCAAGAACGACCATCTCTCACGCCTCACACTCCACATCTGTCTCCTAAGAAAGAGGCTTTCAATAACCTTCTTAATAAAGGTATATCAGGTAAGTTTTATGCTGTTTATATTATACTTAATGTAAATATCATTTTCATTGTTGCGGAATATTTGTTGACTGGCAATTTACACTTGCTTCGCTCGGGTGCGTCCCCGTAGACATCTAAGAATTAACGCTACCATCAGTTAAAGTGTGAAAGAATAATCAACACACAAACAAACTTTTGCATATTATATAATAGTAGTCCCGTTGATTATTTTTTTGAAAAAAAACGTCTTACTACTGTGCCGTCATAATAGTTTATTTTTGCTTCTTATAAGTATGTTATTTAAAGTCCTCCTGAATTCATAAATAATTATGATCTATAAATGTTGCGCTTATTAAAATTAATATCACCCTGTTCCGGAGACGACTGGAATCCTTAACCTTAGGTGCTGAAAGTAATATGACAATCGGCACACGTAACAAACCCACAAAAAGGTATACAGTTCAGTCGCACCGGTTTTGTAGCTTCCGGTCACTCTCTTTATTCGGCAGTATAAAATAAAAACAATAACGGCTAAATTATTAGGAGTTAATGTTATATTTTAAGTCACTAGCCATATTTAAATGTCTCCTACAAACAAACAATGGTCTGGTATTATTATTGCATATAAATGAAGGAGCCAATTTAAAGTATATTGAAAATAAAAAATATGTCAATAGAATGATAATGATGTGTAATTGTTATTTCAGTATATATTTCTTTGGCGGGGTATTACAGCAAGGGGAATACAAAATTTAGGTACCGACATAGAGTCAAAAAAGAACCGTGTATGTGTACTTATGTACGCACGTAAGAAGTTATACTTCTTTGGCGTAACAGAACAAAAATAGCTAAAGATTTCATCCCGTATGTCACAACTCTCTGTTTGTAAAAGGAATGCAGCTAACTTCATCATGTCGCTTTTTGGCTGTCGGTGTGCGCGCGCATCGTAAAAATTTTTCTTTAATTTTTTTTAAACGTGCCAAAAGAAGTATAATTTCAATAATATAAGTCAAACTAAAGTTTAAGGCAAGTCATACTTATGCAATAAACCAAGTGTAAAGCTTGAAAAGGCGTATCATTGAATCGGTTTATTCGAAGTCACGCGCGCCCGCTTTGTTGAGCTCATCTCTCAGTAATCTAACGTATAATTGATTATAAATCTTTAAAACTATCAGGCATTAATAAACTTTTATATTATTTCCATAATTTACTTTATAAAGTAAGTAAACGTTCAAGTACAACTGCAGTCTCATTGAGAGACCCGTTTATTCATAGTCACGCACCGGCCCCTTTGTCGCGCGAGCTCATCTCTGTGTTAATCTGACGCTTAATTGGTTCAGATACCTTTCATGCTATTTAGTCCAATTTAACACTTCTAGCCTAATAGTACTTTGAATACAGTGTAACAAAAATATAAAAAGAAAATAATTATTTTTTATTAAAAGAAAGTATTTATAATTACAATTTTTTACTTAACTTCATTGAAAATCATTTATTATCATCCTCAAAATAGTAATTAAATAAATTTTTATATTACTTCTTTATTATTTACTAGAAGCTCGCCTTCGCTTTGCTCGGGTTCGCCTCTAGAAAAACACAAACCACTCTATCCCACGGGAACCGTACATTATTCCGGGATAAAAAGTAGCCGGGATAAATAGTAGTATGTGTTATTCCAAACTATAAACTATCTGTGTGCCAAATTTCATCCAGATCCGTTCAGCCGTTCTGGCGTGAAAGAGTTATAAACATCCATACTCACAAACTTTCACATTTATAATATTGATACGCATAATATTAAGCTACTCTATCATTTCCAACTCGCTATAATTATCTAAGTCGAAATACCTAATCTCACAATCAGTACATTGCTGCTGTATGAAATTCAAAATGAGACTTCATCAGCCATACCATCCTTTAATATCCCCTACGTAATAATTTTCCATTCATTCTCCTCTTTATGAATCGTAATCTCTAAATCTCCGCCAATCTTGCGTCCTTGTCTTTTTAATGCAAATCCAGTGACGTTCTCTCGCTTTAGTTCTTTTACCCCTTAAATCTAATCCGGGACATCCCGTGTGCCCAGTAAGGCGCTCAAAGCGTAAGCCGGCGAACACACGCAGTAGGCACTCGTTGCATTATACATCAATTCATTCGCGTATTCCTTTTGTAATGATCGAAATTATATTCAATAGCTAAATATATTTAGAAAGCCAAATTAGAAAATAAACTATGAAGGTAATTAGCGGCTGAAATAAAAAAATTGCAATCAGTTGCCTTGATGTGATTTTATTACGGATTTTTAATCTCAGATTAAATATATCAGTAAGTAATTTTATCGATTTTAAATACGATATGAACATTGATTTTGCATATAGGCTTTAGATACGATTTTAGCTATTCGCACTGTTATCGAGTCCCCTACCATTTTCTACGTGCCGTCTGCATTTATCAGATTGTTATTCCCATTGAGAAAATGAGTATACAAAAAGTATAACATTTTCTCACATAATTATAGTTTCATTTAATCACACGCAATGGTTTTAAAGTCACAGCAGTGTAGATTTTTAGATATATTATATATTTTTTGTTATAAAAAGTAGAACCGTCGCTTGTCATCCGCTTAGCACTACGTATATCCCCATTTGTCCTGAATAATATCGTGTCGTGAATTAATATCGTTAAATACATTCACTCAGGTATGATACCACCTGGCATATTTAATCAAACGATTTTATTTCTTATATTTAAAGTAATAGCTGCTATATTTGTATCGATAAGAAACGATTAAATTGTGCGTAAAACGTCGTGGACGTGAAAGAAACGGTGGCGAGTTAATACCGAGCGCCTCTAATCGGGTGTTATAAATCATTATTAATTTCAAGTTCCGCGCCGATCCGCGATTAGCTATTGCACAATGCCCTCGGATTATACCTCAGAAATATATCTTTTGTCAGTTTATACGTACATGAATAAGTACTGTTAGAATATAATATGCAAATAAAGTGGTATTTTTATATGTATATATGTAATAATACTAAAATGATTTTATATGTATTGTATTGGATCTTTATCCTATATTATCTATGATTTTATTAAAAATAATTAACATACTGTATAATATTATGAGCATCTTATTATTATCTTGGTCTGAATAAAATTCACGGACTTTATTAAAAATTGTAGCACGGGCCACAGATTGTTGAATAATTCATTTACGAATTAAATAAATAAATAATCAAGATTAATTTTGTAAATTTGGCATTTAAGCGAGTTATTTTACCGGTCTCTCTAAAGCGTTTTTACGTTACAGTGGATAATAATCGTAGTCAACAAATTCCTCGCACCAGGAAAAAAATGGTTATCCATTTTAATTTAAAGACTAAATCATAGTAAAAAATTATGATGCGATGACAAATATGTTATTTTATAAAATATTTTTTTTTGCTGACCATACGTTTTAAAGCTGGTTTACAAATATAAGCTGATTTATTTTTAATGTTTGAAATCAAAAGATATGGATAAAGATGGTGAAGAATTTAAAATCTTGTGAATTTATTTATATTAATTATTGTATTTCTTTATTAGTATTCAATATCAACTTTTAGATTCCCTTTGTATTGCATACACGAGTATTAATTTTATATACATATCTATAGAACAAAATTATATTTTTATTACTTAAATACAAGTTTTATACGAGTACTTAAAAATATTTACAATCATAATTCGATTTAATAAGCCAGAAACAATAAATATAGTCTAAGAATATATCCAAAAGCAAACCACTTTATCATACATTGGGTGGATCTTGCATGCAGCGGTGTGAGGGTAGTTCTGTTTTATCTCCGCGCGACACGAGGCTGATCCGGACCGGATGATCCGGATAATCGCGCTCCGTCCCAGTACGTGTATCGATTTATTCCACACCTATTCGTGCCCCTTTTTCCGTTCATTTCAAAGTACGCTTTAAAGCATATTTTTTTTTGATTTTAGTTTCAAGCACGCTAAAGACTTTCATTCATTATTGATAATATAAAAAATAGTTATCGCATTTATAACTATGTATTATTTATAATAAAGCAATATCTCACGAGAATCACTTACTTAATCGGAAGAAAAATGTATATAATATAGTGTCTAGACAAAAAATAGTGTCAATCCGCTGCGCATCAGACGATAAACAAAAAACCCACTTTCACATTTCCAATAATGATATAGTAATAATAACGATGAAAGTTATCGTAGTTGTCATAGATTTGTAAGAGATTGCTCAAAGCATGACATTCAACACATTGCGATTTTTGTTGTATTCAGCCCTTTTTAACGTCCCACTGCTGAGCACGGGCCTCCCTTTAGTACGAGGGGGATCAGGCCATAGTCCACCACGCTGGCCAAGTGCGGGTTGGCGGACTTCACATGCCTTTCGAAAACTTGCTAGGTTCTCTCAAACATGCAGGTTTCCTCACGATGTTTTTCCTTCACCGTAAGACAAGTGGTAATCATGTTAGATATGAATCGCACATGAAAATATCAGAGGTGTGAGACCCGGATTTGAACCCGCTTCACTCGGTATTCCAAGCGAGCGCGTTACCACTGGGCTACCACTGCCTATACGATCGCGATTACTTGTATTGTATTAGAATAGCCGTTTGTCTGCGCCTGACTTAATTAAAGCGGGCATTGAAAATTTCCATCAAGGTCTGTCTCATAAATAAGTATTCAGTATTCATCATGTACCAAAAGAAATTACGTAAAATAAAAAAATGTCGAAATTAATTTGTAAGGTAAGGGACGGGTAGTAATAACTGCGTTATCTCAACGAGCCACGACTAATCGGTCTGGGATCATCCGGATAATCGCAAACCTTTGTATAATGTAAATTTTATACATATTATATATGTAAGGATTTACCTAAATGTGTTTTTAATATTTGTACTGTTTTTGTATGAAACAAACTGAACGATCTACTTATAATACGCCTTTACAATAAATGATTGTTGTTAATAATTTATTACAT